CGCTACTAGCACATAGACTTGTGGCAGAAATGCCAAATATTTCTTGTTGAAAGTTGTTCCAAAACACTATACAGTGCCTTTATTTAAACCCTTATACTATAGCATGACAGCTTGGGGTACCACCTGTTATACATAGGAGCAGGTGCATATACGGAAATACTAAACACTCTTTATAGATAGTTTTCTGGGAATATTGTACCGTAATAAAAAAGTCCCTTCTTTCACCAGCAGCCCATTTCTATTTTGTCTTGTGTGGATGTTGTCGAATATTCAGACGCATGTTACGAGAAGAATTCCTGAACGCACAACCGAGCTTGCCCTGCCATGCTATATATATATATATATATATCTAACTTAAATCATTAGATTTAGAAATAACTTTTAAAAAATGAACCTTCAGTCCATATAAAATACAAAGGTTTACAAATATGACATTTACGGAGTCTAACCGGGTATTGAACATAAAGTTTACATAAGTGACTGTTACGGTGCCTAGCCGGGTAATGAACGACATGACATGGGCGCAAGGCCTATTTATACTATTGGTGTGCTTACAAAGCACTTCTAGAAAATAAAGCGTAAACAACGTGTTAGCGAGAAGTCGTTATCTGTTGCTGAGCTAGCGTCTGGTGCAACATTGTATGGAATAGTAAGTTCATTGTTTTGAGTGCATATAACAACTTCCCCCATTACAAAAAGTTGTTGCCATGCGACAACTTTTGATAAAATTAGAAAAGTGTAAAAGATGTAAAAATTCAAAAATGTAAAAATGTAGAAATGTAAATTGTAAACATTGTAAAATAAAAATATAAAGTAGGAGTAATAAAATTGCAAAATAACAACAGAAAATAGATTCTGAAAAATAAAATTGTTAGCATAAATGCGGTACATTGGCGATGCTAAATAACATCTAAAAGCAAAGCTGGAACAAACAAATAATAAGATACAATCGTACAGTCGTACGGGCAAAATCACATGCTAGATAACACGAAAATTGGAAATGTCTTTTTGAACAGTGAAAACACTTCACGGAACACTCACTGCAGTTCGATGTCTTCTTCATGTGGCTGGATGGTTGGTCTACGTCGAGGAAAAAGTCTGGGAATGTACCGGACTTTTGGTGCTCCTGGAGATGGGCCATCGGCTGGATAATTTGATGCGCAGATGCTGAGTGGTCTTCGTTTTCTGCACTTGCAGAACAGGTACAAAGCTACGATGATAACTAACAGGGTGATGATGAAATACGTGAACCATGAGAGATGTCTTGAAACAAACGGCTCGTTCATAATTTTGTCCAGTTGTTCAGAATATTGGTTTAATTTGTGATTGGCAATTTCGAGTTCTTCAGTATCGATCTTGCTTAGCTTGATCGGTTTTAATTTTGGTAAATTTTGTTTCTCTGGGAGATGTTCACAGCATTTGTAGGGTACTTCTACAGGGTGACTTTTGTATGTGATATCTTGTAGGTGCTAACAGAATATCTAGAATGTAATCTCGTGGTGCCTACAAAGCCACTGCATTCGGGTTGCATTTTTAAAAGTGAATTAACTTTTATCACTTTGGTGGTAGTCTCTCGTTGTCCACACTTCATCGTAATTGGCAGAGGGCTAGATATGGTGATTAGCCAAAAATTGGTTGCAAGTTCTTGGATTTGGTAATCTTGCAATGCCACAATTGCTATTTGGCAGGCTGTCGGCAGATCGACCGGATTTCGCAACAACTGTGCTTCGCAGACTGCATTACTGTCTATTGGATACGGCAAGAGGTTGAAACAGATTTTCACCTGAGACTGAAGAACTTTACAACTACCTAAGTTTTGAAAGGAAACGTACAAAGAGAATCGCTATCTTTAGCAATGTACCTCTGTATAGTGGAGACTACATGAAACAAACCAGTACGTTTATCGAGAATGGGTAGAGGAATCACTCTGTATAAAGTATACATTTCGGGCTCTAATAACGGGATGCGTAGAACGAATACTACTCTTGTTTTAGTTTGATACGCTTCGAGTTCCATAAGATTAAGGTACTCTGACACTGTTGCTAAATTAACCGGAAGGGGTAAATTATTTCTCGACAAAGTGTGAGAAATTTCTTGAAGAGAATTTACTAAGCTGTCTTGAGGAGTGATAATAGAAGGATGTATTATTTGTAAACGTGCAAAAGTAATTGAATTTAGAATATCATTAATTGTCTCTTCTAGAAACATGTAGCTTTCCATTAATTCTTCGCAACTTCTAAAAATTGGAATTTAGCTTCATAAAATGCAAGATCGTCTGAAATTTCATAAATTTTGTTTTCAATAACCTTAATATCTTCATTAAACGTAGTTTCATCAATCATAAGTTTTTGAATAGTGCTATTAAAATTCTTGATAACCGGCATGGTAACAGAAAATTTGGTTCTTCATGAGGTTTTCGAGCTCATGTTCATCTTTAGAAATTTTGTTAATACAATCGTTATAGTATTCACCGTCCGATGAATCGAGGTTGCCGGTTATTGCTTTCCATATGGTACCTATAGCGTTAATCAGACCGCGTTTCATCCGCGATGCGCTTACAGTGTCATCGAAGATCGCGTAATATTTAGATTCCAAGGAACGAGAAATTTGATAAAGGAGACTTGTATGAGTTTTAATTTCGCCGCTAAATATTTTCATACGATTGGTGGGTTTGTCTACGAGATATGATAAGTGTTCCAGAATATAGTTGTTATCGTCAAGTGCTTTCTTAATGAGTTCTAAGTCTTATATACAAGGAGTGTCCAAATTTCGTTGGAAATCTTAAGAGGGGCGTCTTCATGAAAATAGATACCTAAGGTGTTGTTAAGCGGTTTGTTGTCTATCTGGGCTGTGACAGCCGCAAGAAACAGCAGACTGCACACTGCACCTGAAAGAGAAACTAAGTCTCAAAACATGGTTTCAGTCTGTCAAAATTAACTTTACTTATTCTATTTGTTTCCGGGTTCTTAAGGAGCGCAGAATTTTCAAAAACTTGAGTAATTTCGAATGGGCCATCAAATTTGTCTGAAGTTTGTTTGAAATTTGAGACTGTTTCACAAAGACTTTATCGCCAACTTTATATGATTGTAAATTGGGTGACACTCTACTATCAAAGCGAATTTTTGCTTTTTGCTTCTGTTCGTCAGTTCTCACGCGGGCAATTTTGTAGTAATATTCGAGTTTATTCCGAATGTCTCGAACATACTTGGACATCAATTCTTTTCTAAATATATGTGTTCGGGCGGACGACCAGAGGTGTGGCCAAACACGAGCTCGTATGGTGTAAAGCCAGTAGTTTTATTTCTAGTGCTATTGTAGCACTGAACAGCATAGGGAAGAATATTGAAGGGATGTTCGTCGGGATTTTCGGATACATGGGATCTGATCATTTCCAATAAAGTGGCGTGAAATCGCTCAATCGAGCCATTGGACTGGGGATGACTGACCTAGAAAAAGTTAATTTAATGTCATAAAGACTACAAAGGTCTTTCATGAGGGCGTTGTAAAATTCTTTTCCGTAATCACAGTGTATTCGGAGAGGTGTACCATAACGTTGGAAATAGAAAAGTAGAGTATTTACTACAGATTTTGCAGATTTGTCGCTAATTGAATAGGCTTGAGAAAATTTTGTTAGCTCGTCTCGGATTGGGAGAGCGTAGCATTTAGGTGGGATTTCCAAAATGTCAATGTTGATTCTTTCGAACGGGGCTTTAGGGGTTTCAGTTACTACAAAAGGGGCACTGAGGTTTTTACGACAAATTTTGGTCTTTTGACAAATTTCACACTTTTGATGAAATGCTCAACGTCTTTAGTTAAGCCGGACCAATTATATCGTTCACGAATTCGCCTCATTGTTTCATTAATTCCTCGATGAATGTTTTTCTTACCACAATGGTATTGATCTAAAATGACGGGGATTTCATCGGGACTAGGAGTTTTGGTGACGTTTTGGCAAACGACAAGTTTGATATTATCATCCGAAAAAATAAAAGAGAAAATTTCTGAAATGGGTAAGTCCAAATTATTTTCAACGTAAATTTGTTTTGATAGGTCGAATACACCTTTGTTGGTTAAAATTACAGAGAAAAGATGCTGTATGCAAGTTACGGGATCGTATGGCACAGGAATAATATAGTATTTTCTATCTTTAATTGTTTTGCTAGAAGCGATGTTAATTTTATCTGCAGAAAAATCAAGATTTTCCTCGAATATGTCTTCGATAATTTTTTCGTGAAGATCAGATAGAGTGTTTTGTCTGAAAAACGTGACCATATGTTTATGACTCTTGTCTAGGAGTTGGGAATTTGAAAATTGGATTTTGGAATAATCGATCAGGGATGTGGTTTTGTAAAGGCGGGCAAAGATATCAAATTCACTTTCGGAAAATTGGGTAGAAGGTTCTCCTTCTTCGTCACTATGGGTAAGGGCGTTAACAGTTTTGGGTAATTTGATACGTGATAGGGCATCGGCATTTTTATTAGCCTTGCCTGGCTTGTAAACTATTTCATAGTCGTACTCCTCTAGCTTGAGGCGCCATCTTGCTAATCTACTTCCGGTGTCTCGGAAAGAGAAAAGCCACGTATGGTCTGTTACAAGTTTAAACTTTCGACCATACAAATAAGGTCTAAAATGTTTTACACTCCAGACAATAGCTAGAAGTTCTCTTTCAATGGTGGAATATCTCGTTTCTGCTTTACAAAGTGTACGAGATGTATAGGCTATCGGGAGATCTTTACCTATGGGACCTTGGGAAAGAACGCCAGATATCGCAAAAGCGCTTGCGTCTGTTGTAAGCACAAAAGGCTCTTCAAAGTTGGGGTAGATCAGTATAGGAGATGTTGTTAAAGCATTTTTTAAAGTATCAAATGACTTAACACACTCGCTATCAAAGTCAAATACTGCGTCTTTCTGTAATAGTCTGGTAAGGGGTTTCGCAATTTTGGCAAAGTTTGGTATAAAGCGTCGGTAGTAACCTGCAAGACCTAAGGAAGATTTTATTTCTTTAGGATTCTTGGGCTGACGGAAATTTTTTATGCAATCCACTTTATCTGGATTGGGCTTAACGCCATCAGGGGTTATTACATGACCAAGATAGGCTACTTCCTTTCTGAGGAATTCGCACTTATCAGGCTGGATTTTGAAATTCGACTTCCGAAGACGCTTAAAAATTTCGGTAAGCCTACTGATGTGTTCTTGGATGGAGGGGGAATAGACAATTATGTCATCCATGTATACAAGACATCTTTCGTTTTGTATACCCATCAAGATGTTGTCCATGACACGTTGAAACGTGGCAGGAGCGCTCTTGAGACCAAAAGGCATCCTCAAGAATTGGTAATGTCCGTTTTCAACTGAAAATGCAGTTTTAGGAACATCAACTGGATTTATCTCGATTTGATGAAATCCAGATGCCAAGTCCAGTGTACTAAAGTACTGGCATTACCCTAATTGATCAAGTAGATCGGAAATGTTTGGCAGGGGATATTTATCATCGATGGTGATTTCGTTAAGCTTACGATAGTCAATCACCATACGCCATTTCTGTTTACCAGAGGCGTCCATTTTCTTTGGTACAACCCACACCGCAGAATTCCATGGCGATGTGCTAGGTTCGATAATACCTTGTTTTAGTAATTTTGAAATTTGATCTTTGACTTCTTGCTTGTGGACATAAGGGTATGGGTAGGATTTGGTAAAAACTGGTTTACTGGTAGTGGTATCAATGGAATGCTTAATTTCGTTTGTAAATGACAGGCTATCACCATCTAAATAGAATATGTCCGAAAAATCTAAACAAAGATTCGTAATTAAATCTTTTTCCTCTTCGTTGAGATGATCGAGACGTAATTGATCTCTAATAACATCTCTACGGTTATACTGACTTTGATTTTGTAAAGAAGTGTTGAAATTATTGATAGAAGTTTCGTTAAATGGCTCGAAAGTTAATTGGGGTAAAATTACATTTTTTGGAATGGCATTACAGTTTAATACTGTAGTAAGGAATTCGCCTTTAGAATCAATTTTAACTATGGAACTGGGTAGACGGACTTTTTCTACCTCACACGCCATAAGAATGGCTTCAGTATTTCTAAGCTCGGATTTGAGCTTGACAACTTGTTCAACTCTGGGAGGAATGGAAATAACATTTTGAACTTGAGAATTTTCTTTAAATTGCGAAGCTTGGGACTTTTCTTTAAATTGAGAAGCTTTGGAATTATTTTCGTCACCTACTTTGAAAAGAGGGACTGTTTTGAAATTTGTAATCAATTGACGATTTTTCAAATCAATAATACAATCATAATGTTCAAGAAAATCTGACCCAAGAAGGCCATCGAATGAAATATCTAGATCATGGACATAAATTTTGTGATAATCATTGGGAGCAAATGGGACTAAGACTGCTTCAGTAATACTAATTTTTTTGTCAGTAATATCTCGGATAGAGATATTTTCTGCGACACGATTAGTATAATTTTGACAAGTGTTACGTTTGAAAATGGAGCAACCTGCACCACTGTCAATGAGAATTTTGAATTTTCCAGTAGCATCTTTAATGTGATATAAGTTGTCTGGGCTAACGGGGTGAATTGTCGACGGGACTATAAACGGAGGGTTTATATGAACATCTGATCGCGAGTGTTGCTGACGCTCGCACACGGTTTCGCGTTCGCGTCCTCGACACTGAGATTCGCTAAGTTCGCACATACTATCGCGGTACTGTCGTTGGGTTCCGCAGGGGGTTTCTCTTTCAAACACTTGGTCCGAAAATCCTGGAATTGTTGTATGTCCGAATAAGCGTTGTCAACAAATGTATCGGCGGTTTGATTATATTCGTAACAAAAATCGTTACTGGGTTCTCTAAAATCATCGTATGGGGAAGGTGTGTAAGGGGAGTATTGGGTATCGTCATATTCATTAGCGTAGTCCGTGTTGTATAGGTCTGGTTCACCGTAGTCGGAATAATCGTAAGAATCAGGGGCAACATAATTAATTCGATTGGGAGGATTTTGTCTAAAATTTCTTTGAAAATTAGGGTTTTGGAAATTTGGATTGCTCTGAATTACAGAGGGTCTTGGCGCACTCGCGTTAGGCGCATTTTGTCGTATTACAGATGGTCTGGGAGGATATTGATTAGAATTTTGATGGTAGTTAGATGTAGATGGTCTAACTTGCATAGGTTGATTCGACCTAGGGTAATTTTGAGGCTGGGGCTGGTTAAACTGTCTTGGGGCAAAACTTGTAGGCTGTTGTGTCCGTTGGCATTCATTTGCCAAGTGACCGGGACGATTACAAAAATTACAAATTTTAGGGTTTGGTCTTCGATTAACTGAATTTTGATTCGGGTTTGGGGCCCTGGCGAATTTTTGTCGTTCCAAATATGAAAGTTGTAACTCTCGTTTGATATACGAAACTGCGGTCAAGATATCCGTGGGATGTCCTGATCGCACAACAGGTCCTATTTTTGAGTCTAATCCTGTTAATAGACAATTTAAAGTCATCGTTTCGATGACGGAACTTTGAGCAGATTTTTGCTCGCGATTTAGATTTTGCCTATTCACGGCGGAATGCATTTTGGCTGCATGCGTCTGCAGTCTAGATGCAAAGGTTAGGGGTGATTCGTTGGGGAGTTGGCGCATGTGTTGAAGATCCGCGATTAAAGATGTGAGATCTCTAAGATCTCCAAAGTGGGTTTCTAACAGGGACCGTATGTCTTCCCACGTGGAAGGGTTTCGGCTGTTCACAAGTTCGGCGGCACGTCCGCGAAGTTTGTTTTTAATATGTAAAACGACGAGAAGCCGCTGCTCCTCGACGGCCATTTGATATGCCGTTCGGCAGGCGTTGATGAAGGTCGATAGCAATATCGGGTTTCCATCGTACTCGGGTACAATCGAAAATATTTCAGATAATCTATAAGGTTCAATGTTCGCATGAACGTTATCAGGAATTTCAGCTGGTTGGTAATCATCTGAACCGTTAGTAGACATTTTAAATGGAAAGTTGTTTCAAAAAGATTCAATAATGTCAAGGGTAAACGCAAAAATATATAAATGTAAAATAGAAAAATACGTAAAAATGGGGAAAATACGTGAAAATCGACAATATATAGAGTAAATGCGCAAAAATGCAAATAAAAAGTTGTAAAAATCACACACACACAGAGATAAATCGCAAAAAATAGTTAGATTAAAATTGTACGTTACCAAGGGTACATTGGGAGGCAGTCGTGTTCTCCAGGCGGCGAGTGGTTCTCTTGCGATGTTTCCAGTAGTCTGTCTGCAGTTGGGTGGCTGCTGCTCGCTGTGTCCCCTGTTGTTTTCCTTCTTCTTGTTGCTTTGTAGTTTCTTACTTGTAGTTTTCCTACTTGTAGGTTTCTTTCTTCAATGAGTTTCTTTCTTCTTAAGGCTCGTTGGTCCTTTTCAGCTTAAAGGATAGGCATCCACCGCACCAGTTAGTATGCACGTGTTCTAATGCGTTGAAGCTATCCCACTTCTCTGACACCAATTTCTGAAATCATTAGATTTAGAAATAACTTTTTAAAAAATTTTATTTGAGGACTGAAGCTTCAGTCCATATAAAATACAAAGGTTTACAAATGTGACATTTACGGAGTCTAACCGGGTATTGAATGACAGGATATGGCCGCGAGGCCTATTTATACATTCAGAAAGCTGAGTAAGAATTAGCAGAAAACAGCAAAGGCACTATTCCAGCAACGGATTAGCGAGAAGTTGTTATCATATGCTGACACAGTGTCTGGTGCAACATTGTATAATAACTGCGTAGTTACTATGGCCATATAACATATATATATAGTAATTCTGAAATTGTATATCTAAACAATACACAATTATTGAAGGTTATCGTACACAAAGACAACCATAAAATACAAA